AAGTAAATTTTTAATTAAAGTAACTTTATAACTGAAGTAACATTCTAGCTAAAGCAACTTTATAATTAAAGTAACATTGTAGAGAGAATAATTTTATAGTTAAAGTATCTTACAGTTAAATTAACCTATGGTTAAGTTAACTTAATAGTTAAGGTAACATTCTAGCTAAAGTAACTTCATAATTGAAATAGTCAAATAGTTGAAATAGTTTATAGTTGAAGTAACCTATAGTTAAGTTACTTAATAATTAACGTAGCTAAGTAACATACTAACTAAAGTAACTTCATGATTAAAGTAACGTAACTAATGTTATTTTATAGTTAAAGTAACTCATAGTTAAAGTAACTCATAGTTGAAATAACTTATAGTTAAGTGACTTAATAGTTAACGTAGCTAAAGTAACATTCTAGCTAAAGTAACTTTATAGTTAAAGTAAAATTTTAGTGAAGGGAAATTCGTAGCTAACGTAACATTTTAGCTAAAGGAAGTACATAACTAAAATAACATTCTATTTAAAGTAACTAAATATTTAAAGTAACATTCTAGGTATATAGTAAATTTTTTAAAAAAATAGAATTTCTCCTCTGAAAATTTTGATGAATCTCTGATTGGCCAAAAACAAAAATTTAATGAAATACTTGTTTTCGTAATTCTTTTTATAGAAATGAAGAAAAAAAAAGTATTACTAATATTTTTTAAAAATATAAATTTTAAAAATATATTAATCATAAAAACTAAGTTATTATACCTAATTTGCGTGTTTTTATGGTCTTTAAATAATCGAATATGACGCAGGATATGCCATTATTTATTCAACGTCTCGCTAGTAATTGGAATTAGCTTTTTTGAAGCAAAGAAAAAAAAAAAAAAGTCAAGTGACATGACAGAATCGAATAAAATAAATTTTAATCACCGTTTATTTTTATGCATAACAATTTTAATCCAAATTGATTTTAAGTAATTATTATTCAAATATTCCATATTTATAAATTGAATAATTTTTTAAAGTATCTTTAATAAGAGAGAGAAAAAAAACGAAAAGTTTTTCAAATATCAACGCATGTTTATATCGATATAAAGAAGTTGTATATATATTCTCGAGGGTGCATGACTTTAAATCATTTGAACATTATAGAAGAAGTGAAGCGCGAGAATAAATTGAAATCAAATTCAAATTAGTTTTGAAGGTAAAATCGTAAAAGAGCGATCGAGCCGTGTCACTTTTCTGCGAAAAGTCACACATGTTGGTGACTTTGAAAAAAATTTACATACTGTATATAAATATATATATATATATATTTTTTAATGCGAATATCAACAACGCCTTATGTCGAGTGAAAAGTATTGAAAAGTCATTGAATTGACATTAGATTTCATCGCGATTATCACCACAACGCCCTCTTCAAAAAATTTAATACAAACGATCAATAAATTTTCGATTACAATAAAGTACTACACACATGTGCATCCAGAAAAAAGATTTCTTTGATTCAAAGAAAGAAATTTTTTAGGACTTATTTTTGCCTTTGATACAAAGAAAATTTATTTGTTTCAAAGAAATTATTTTTTAAAAAAAAATTATCTTCGTTTCAAAGAAATTATCTTTTAAAAAAAAATTATCTTCGTTTCAAAGAAATTTTTTATTTAATTTAAATAAATATTTCTTTATTTCTATATTAATGTTAGAAATTTCTTTTAATTTAATGTACAAATTTCTTTGAATCAAAGAAATTTTTTTTTGCAACTAAGAAACTTTTTTTGTTTCAAAGAAAATTTTATTTTCCATGAAAGAAAATCAAAAAAATTGATTTCTTTGAATGAAAGAAATTTTTTTCTCTGGGTGTGACGCTACATAAAAAAAGGACCTTAGAGGCAAAATATTTTAGGTTATGTTTGTATTTTTTTGAATTGAAAATAGAGGATCGACTTTTAATAAAAAAAAAATCATATTTATTAGATTCAAAATAGTTAATAAAAACTGATTTTGATTTTACATAATTAAAAATAAACGTTTAATCAAGCTAAAATTATCACTAAACATAACCTAAAATATTTTTGCCTAAAGTCCCTTTTCTCGTGAAGCTTCAAATATATATTAAAATTCCAAATTTAATCATCAATTTTTTTGTATCTTCGTTTTAGTTTTTAGCAATAAAAAAAGTTTTCTTACTCTCTAAATTTTAATCACTAAATTTTTTAATTTTTTTTTTCTAATTTTATGAATCATATATTAAATATGCGGGTAGAAAATCGGATATTATATAATATGCAAGATTTTTAGAAAAAATAATTAGTGTCATATATAATAATAATACTTTTGGCTTTTTGCTCTGACATAAACAAGTAACATATGTTGAAGTACTTATGTCAATTGCATGTCGAGTGGCTTTGGGTTAAAATAGGGTTAAGCAATGCACCCTTAATGACATATCACGGCAGCCAACTGCTTTGCATGCGGGACCCCCCCATGTAAATACCATTTTTTTTCATAAAATATAAAAAAAAAATCTGTTTTACTAATTAAAAAAAAAAAAAATTTGTTTAAATAAATTTTCCTAAGAGAATTATTGGCAATTATTATTATTATTATTATTATTATTATTTTATTATCTTTTTATTATTTTTATTATTATTTTTATTATTACTTTTATTATTTTATTATTATTATTATTTATTTATTTATTTGGAACATAACGAGACATAATGGAAATTTGATCGCTCTCCATTATTAATTAATTATTAATTAATTGTTAATTAAAATAAAATTAAAAAATTAAAATAATAAATTAAATAATAAAAATAAATAGAAATAATTTTCAAAGTTAATTGTTAATTAAATTAATTTCAATTTTCGCTCACCAATAATTGTCTATTATAGTTTTTTTTTTCAATCCTTATTTCCTTATCTTATACAAAATGCAAAAATAAAATAAAAGTAATACAAAATAAAAAAAAAGAAACTGTAAAATAAATCTATATAAAATAATAGAAATTGTAAAATAAATCTATAAAATTCTTTTACTTCTTTACGAAGAATTTATATCCATATAGATCGTCGTAAATTGCTAAGCTTACATTGAACTTACATAAAATAATAAATATTCACTGAAGGGGGTTATAGGTACATTCGACTATTAAATCGCCAACTCGATATTTTCATATATATATATATACTACTTTACTTTTATATAATATTCAATCAATAATTGTTTCTCTCCGATAATACATAGACTGCGGTAATTATACAATATTTATATGCTATAACGATAAATAAATGTTTAGAGAAAATTAATTTAACAAAAAATTAATAGAATATAAATATGAAAATGAAGTTTTAAAATTGGTAAAATAATTCGAAAAAGAAATTTTTCTTTTCTTTTTAAAAGGAATTAATAATTTTTTTTTTATTAATTTTGAAAAATATTTTAATAAAATATTTTAATGAAAAAAATGTTTTAATAAAAAAAAAATATTTTTTTACGATTCTAAAAAAGGGAACCCTTCCCCCACCAAAAAAAAGAAGACAATGTAGAAAAAAGAGTATTGGAAAATTTCTTGAGGAAATCCTTGTGAAACTTTTTGTCTCTCTCTCTCTTTCTCGCGTTATATATATATACATATAAATTGTCGATCTTTTTACTTTGTCGCTCCCCTTTTAATGGTCTTATGGCGCCTGTCTCGATCTTTCTTACTCTAATAGAGAGAGGCGAGGACACCTGTAGGGTTCTCAGGCTCAATAATGCATCGAAAACATGGAGAAGCATCGCCTAGAACAAAAAGGGTGGTAAACCACATGTGGTGGTTACCTATTGCCACATGCCTTTTTAGCCCCCATAAAAAAACGACCATTTTTCCTATTCGATTTTCATCTATTATTCCTTATTTTTGACTCTTTTTATCGCAATGATATAAGATATAGAAATAAACCAATCATCGACATCACATTTAATACACAGTGATTGGATAATCGTTTGACTCTTATAATAATAATTATTATTATTATTAATTATTATTGGCGGAAAAATAGGCATTGAATGATTTTTTTTTAATAATTAAATAATAAATAAATATTATTTAATAAAAATATTGATATAAATAATAAATTTATTATTTATTATAATATATTTATTTCAATATAATAATTATTAAATATTTTGTTAATAAATAAATCTAATTTATAATTGGAAATGTTTTCTAGCCATAAATAGATTTTATTTGTTACAAAAAAAATTGTATTTGTTTTAAATATAATTTATTCGTAACAAATAAAATTTAGTTCTAACAAATACAATTTATTTGTTGAAAATAAAATTTATTTATAACAAATACAATTTATTTGTCGAAATTAAAATTTATTTATAACAAATACAATTTATTTGTTGAAAATAAAATTTATTTATAACAAAAACAATTTATTTGTCGAAATTAAAATTTATTTATAACAAATACAATTTATTTGTACAAATTAAAATTTATTTATAACAAATACAATTTATTTGTTTAAATTAAAATTTATTTATAACAAATACAATTTATTTGTAAAAAAATCCAATTTTTAAGTGTCACACATAAAATTTATTTGTAAAAAATAAAATTTATTTATAACTTTATTAATTTATTTAATTAATGTACAATAAACTATCGTAACCACTCAGTACTCTGTACGAATGGGCTTTGCCCGTATATTAACAATAAATAAATAAATAAATAAAAAACTAATACAATTTATTTGTACAAATTAAAATTTATTTATAACAAATACAATTTATTTGTTGAAAATAAAATTTATTTATAACAAAAAAAAATTAATTTGTGAAAAATAAATATTTATTTATAACAAATAAAATTCATTTGTAAAAAAAAATTAACAATTTATTTCGCTCTGGATGTAGTTTTCGAGAAAAACAAATTAAAATTTTTTTTTAATAAATAAATTTCCACTGTAAAAATGATAAATTCTGAATTTGTGTTTTTTTTTATATAGCCGAAATTAACCAAAAATGGAAGATGGTGGAAGAAATGAGACACTTTGTAAAGTTTGTGGTGATAAAGCATCGGGAAAACATTATGGAGTACCAAGTTGCGACGGATGTCGCGGATTTTTTAAACGGTCAATCCGCAGATATGCGAGGTAATAAAATTTCTTCAAATTTTCTCTTAATAATAATAATTTCTTTATAATAATAAACAAATTATTTATTATAATTATAATAGTTTAAAATTATATTATAAATATAATTGCTTAAAATTGTTATAATTATAATTGTTGATATTTGTTATAATAATTATTTATTTTTTATTTATTTATAAATAAATAATAAATAAATAAATAATAATTGTTTATAAAATGTTAAATTAATTGGAAATTTGTTTAAAAAAAAAAAAAAACAGAAATCTGGATTACGTTTGTAAAGAAAATGGCCGCTGTGTTGTGGACGTTTCGCGCAGGAATCAATGTCAAGCGTGTCGATTTACCAAATGTCTTCAGGTCAATATGAAACGTGATGGTATGCTTATTAACAATATACTAATTACTGCCTGCTTTAATTACTAAATGACCCCTTTCATTTCGCTTTTAATTTATAATTCTAAATTTAATTCCACTATCAATATATATAAAAATAAATTTGGCAAATTTTCTTTTTCCAACAAATAAATATTAATCACACAAATTTCAAAGTATCAAATTGATACCAAAAATATCAAATTGATACAAATTTTTATATCAATTTGATATTTTTGGTATCAATTTGATATTTTTAAATTAGTGTGATATTAATCAATATTAATATTAACAAATGTTATTAAAATATAATTTTTTAAAATATATAAATAAATTCAGTATTTATATATTTATGCATAAAAAAGTCAAAACTAATTCGACTTAATTAAAATAATTAATTAATTTAAAAAAGGCATTATCCGTAAATTAAAAAATAAATAAATATTAAAGATAAAATTATTATAAACATTTTGTTATTAATAATAAATAATGTATAAATTATACAAATAATCCATACCTTGGAATCCATAGTCGCAATGCTCTCAATGTAGAAATCTTCTTACACTCGCGATTAAATCAAAAAACAATTATATTTTACTAAAAAATACAAACGTAACACTCCCGAAAATCACTTGAAAGATTTAATCGAAAAAAATACTATTTATAAAGAACGATCGCGATTTAAGAAAATTTGAACACTCCCGAAAAAAAACAAAAAAGTAAATGAGAAATTTTCTAAAAATATTAAGTCTAATTTAAAAAATTTTTAATATTTAAAATTAAATTGAAAGAAAAAAATAATTAAACACATTTATTCTATGAACTAAGAGTTTTGAACGTTCATATGAACGAAATTTCTTTTGCTACTTCTTTAAGTACGAATTTTATTACAAAATATTGTTTTAAATATCTAAAAAGAAGTTATTAATTTAATAATTGTTTAATTTACTGTTTTATTTTACATGGTCAGCATAATTTTTAATAATTTATAGATTGAAAAAATTATTTCGTTCAGAACTTTTGGCTCATTTTATTCTCGACGAATCACAAATATTAACTGATGAATTAATAGAAGAAAATTCCTATTAATTTTCAACCATGCAAAAGGGTACAATCTACCTGAGATTATAAAATTAAAAGTGACCCCGCTCTTTATTGATAGCTCGGTTTTGAATGTTGCAGATTTTGAAAACAATAATATTGCAATGAAGTCATTTGTTTGGAAATAATTTTAAATTACTTTAAAATTTCAAAAATGAACAATTAAAACCTTTTTTAAAAATAAAATAAGCAACAAAATATATAATACATTTTAATTCATTGCGAAAAGAATTGTCAATTTTTTTCAAGTGTATCAATTATAAAAAAAAATTTGAAAAATAATTGCAGCTGCTGAATATAATGAAAAGGAAAATTTGATATATATATATATCAATTATAAATGAACAAGTGTGTAAATAAAAATGGTTGAACAACAATTACAATGCATATGTGTGTGTATTGGGTGTCGTTTGCCCTTTAGGTAAATAATAAGGAAAAAAAAAGAAAAAGAAGTATGGGGGAAAATATGACAAAAATGTTAAAGCACTAGCGGATCTCTATATTGAAGAGTCACAAAACGTATAGTGTCAGACACAGACCTAAAGTTCACAGCTTTTGTAAATATTGCGGGTAGCACCCCTGAAAGTTCAGACGAGCTCGAATAAACCAAACACTCGATTGCGTCGAGATATCAATTAGCAAAAGGGTCATGGGGGGGGCAGGAGGAGGAGGGCCATTAAGCAAAGCACCTTCAGTGCCTTTTATGTGTATTTTTATTTTAACCTTTCATATATAACCGATAAATAGAAAAATATATTGATTCCTTTTTTTTTCTATGACAAGTGTTTATACTTTAGGAAAAAAAAAAAGATTTGACACAATTTTTTTTTATATATGTCTTATTTACGGATCTGTGATTTTCTCCACAGAAAGTAATTTAATTTAAAAAAATAAATATATGACTTTAATAAATAATGTGGTAAATATTAGCGACTAAAATTGAAGAAATAAATGAACACGTTTAAACAAATCGAATCCCGAATTTTGATTTGAATTTATAAAAATTTTTGGATTCTAAATTTTCGCTAGCCTATTTAATTTCAAAAATATAAAAAATTTATATTATTACTTTAATCCTTTATGTGCATGATAAAGAGAAAAATCTGCCTTTTCCTTTTTTTGTATAATAAAATACTTTTTTGGGAAACAAAACAAATAATAGAGAACCAGAAATTGAAAAGATAAATGAACACGTTTAAACAAGTCGAATCCCGAATTGTGATTAAATTTTGCTGTGGGGGAAAAAAAGATTTGATACAATTTTCTTATTTACGGATTTTTGATTTTCTACACGGAAACTAATTTAATAAAAAAAAAATATTTGACTTTAATAAATTATGCGATAAACAATAGAGATTATAAAATTGAAGAGATAAATGAACACGTTTAAACAGGTCGAATCCCGAATTGTGATTTGAATTTAAAAAACGTTTCGATTCTAAATTCCTACTAACATTTACACTTTGGAAAATATAAAAAATTTATATATATATTGAACACGTTTAAACAGGTAGAATCCCGAATTGCAACTGTTGAGATGCTAAATTTACTTAGCCTATTTAGACTGAAAAAAAATTTATATATATAACATTGAAATTACTAAAAATTTTATATTTATACAATTATAAATTTATATTTATACAATTATAAATTTATATACTTATATAATTATAAACATTCAGAAATATAATTATTAATATATATAGAAACATATTTAGAAAAATATATATTTATAAATATATAGAAATATAAATTTTTTAAATTGAAATGTATATTTTATGGATTCAAATATAATATATATAGTGGATAAAGTGCGAGCAATTTAGGAAATGCTCAGTGCACAGTAATTGTCAAGTAAAGTGGCTCTTATAAGAAATATAGTATACCGTTTTTGTGGATTTTTTTTTCTTCTTTTTTCCATTTTTTTTTTTTGAAGGAAATGTCATTTTCAGCCGTTCAACATGAAAGAGCGCCGAGAAGCGCGTCATCTTTGGTGGCAGCAGCAAGAAGAACTCCATCGTCACTCTATCAGGGGGTTCCCCACGTTTATCATCCTGGAAGCGCCCCTTATCATCCACTTCTATATCCAGCATTTTTTTCATTTAAACCCACTGTGCCAACATTTTCTTCCAACGTTGGTAAGAGATCTACACTGAATTTTTTTAAAATAGTTCATTAATTTTTTCAATTTTTAAATATTTATTTTTCAATATTTATTTATTTTTTCAAGTTTTAAATATATTTTTTAAAATATTTATTTTTTCAATTTTTAAATATATTTGTTTAAATATTTATTTATTTTTTCGATTTTTAAATATTTAGTTTTCAATATTTATTTATTTTTTCAATTTTTAAATATATTTTTTTTAATATTTATTTATTTTTTCGATTTTTAAATATTTATTTTTTAATATTTATTTATTTTAATTTTTTAAACTCATTTTAAATAAAAAAAAATAATTTGCAAACAAATAAAAATCTTTTTTTTTATAAAAAAAAATTTTAATTAAAAAAAAACTTTTTCTTTTTGATAGTAATAACAACGCTACCTAGTTATAGTTATTTTTGTTATTCGGTTTTTAAGAAACATTATATTTTATGTTTCATTATTCTTAGTACTTCGGTACGAAAGGGCTAATTTTTCTTTCTTTGTAAGCCCGTTTACATGTAAATAAATAAATAAATAAATAAATTAATAAAAAATAAATAATTTCACTTACTTTTTTATAGATGTCAACGATCTATTACGTTTTTCCACAGCCACACATTTTTTTCCACGCACATCAAATGATATAACAACGGCAGCTAAAGAAGATGAAGTTACCAGTTCAGAGGAAGCTGGAAAAGTTGATGAACGAATCGATATTAAAAAATGTAATTATTCAAATTTTTTTGTTGTAAATATATTATTAAAATTTATATCATTTACTTATAACAATATTATTGTTACTTAATCATATTATAAATAATGAAAATAATAATAATAAAAGTTAATAACGATTTAATAATAAATTATAATAAATTATAATATATCCATAAATTTTTAATTGAGAACTAATAAAGAAATAAAAAATATGATTAATAATAGTGGATCCAGTTACTCGCCTTGTACCACAATTTATGGGCTCAACATTAACTGAGAATACAATGCCGGGATTATCAATTTTGCCAACTGAAAATATTTATGAGCTTGCAGCAAAATTACTCTTCCTTGCTGTGAAATGGCCAAGAAGTATTTCCTCTTTTCTTCAAGTACGTATCTCTTTCCTGTAAAAAGAAAAAAAATTTAACAATATTAGTAAAAATATAATTTATTTTAATAGTAAACAATTATTTTTATTTAAAATTATTTTTTTTGCTATATTTAATTATCTATAATTAATTAATATTTAAATTTTTTAAATTTATTTAATTACATTTTATGTGAATGAAAAATGATTTTTTTGTATTAAATAAATAAATAAATAAATAAATAAATATTCATTTTAATGATATTTATTGATTTTAATTAAATAATTATCTTTTTTAATAGTTATCCTATAGAGATCAAGCAATATTACTTGAAGAATCGTGGAGTGAATTATTTGTCCTAACAGCTGCACAATGGAATTTTCCCGTTGAAGAATCGGCATTGATACCAATAAATTTGCCAACTGATAGAAAACAAATTCTTCTTGATGAAACAAGAAGACTTAAAGAATTATTAAGAAGATGTGCAATGTTAAGAATTGATCATTCTGAATTTGCTTGTTTAAAAGCCATCGTTCTCTTCAAAGGAGGTACGTTATTATTTTTATTATTATTACTATTATATAATTACATTAAATTATTATATATATAATTTCAATAATTTCTTAATTATTTATACAATAAAAAAAATAATTTCGTTATTTTTATTATATATAATTATATTAAATTTAATTATAATTATAGATATAATTTTTTTTTATTTATTTCAAGTAATTTCCGCAATTATATTTTAAATTATTTTTCAAATAAAAAAAATAATTTTTCATAACATACCTTTTAATTTAGTAGAATGAAGAAACTGTAAATAGAAAAAAAATTATAACATGAGTAGTAAAGACTAGTTTCAGTAAGACATAATTTTTTTAATTTTAAGTAGTATCAGTAGTAAAGGCAAAATTTCAGTCAGACGAACATTTATAAATTTTTATTAAAATTACAGTAGTGAGGATCAATTTTAGTCAGACAAGACTTAATTTTTTTTTAAATTTTGGTATCAGTAGTCAGGGCAAATTTTCGTCAGCCAAAGGTTTCAAATTTTTTTCGTTAGTAGTGAATTTCAATCAACAATATTAATTGTCAAAAATTTTTTTTCCCAGTGGAAAAAATTGATTTTAGTTACACAAAATAGTCAAATTTTTGTTATTTCAGTACAAGTAGTAAAGGTTAATTTTAGTCAGCCAAAAACAACAAATTTTTGTGTTTTTGTTTTCAGTAGTAAAAATGTATTTCAGTCAGACAGAATATGTAAATTTTCTTCTTTTTAGAATAAGTAGTAAAATTAAGTTAAGTCAGACAAATACTAGAAATTTTATTTTTATTATTAGTAGTAAAAATACGTTTCAGTCAGACAGAATATAAATTTTTTTTTCATTTTTAGAATCAGTAGTAACAGTCAGGCAAGAATCTTAGTTTAATCTTTAAAAAAAATCTTAGTCAGGCAAGAACTACAAATTCTGTTTTTATTGTCAGTAGTAGAAATGTGTTTTAGTCAGACAGAATATGTAAAATTTCTTCTTTTTAGAATCAGAAATAAAAATGCGTTTTAGTCAGGCAGAATATATAAATTTTTTTACTTTTTAGAATCAGTAGTAAAAATTAAGTTTAGTCAGACAGAATATATAAAGTTTTTACTTTTTAGAATCAGTAGTAATAATTAAGTTTAGTCAGACAAAAACTACAAATTCTTTTTTTATTGCCAGTAGTAGAAATGTGTTTTAGTCAGACAGAATATGTAAATTTTCTTCTTTTTAGAATCAGTAATAAAAATGCGTTTTAGTCAGACAGAAATAGAATTTTTTTTTACTTTTTAGAATCAGTAGTAAAAATTAAGTTTAGTCAGACAGAATATGTAAATTTTCTTCTTTTTAGAATCAGTAGTAAAAATTAAGTTTAGTCATACAAAATATATAAATTTTTTACTTTTTAGAATCAGTAGTAATAATTAAGTTTCGTCAGACAGAAATAGAATTTTTTTCTTTTTAGAATCAGTAGTAAAAATGCGTTTTAGTCAGACAGAAATAGATTTTTTTTTTTACTTTTTAGAATCAGTAGTAAAAATGCGTTTTAGTCAAACAGAATATATAAATTTTTTACTTTTTAGAATCAGTAGTAAAAATTAAGTTTAGTCAGACAAAATATGTAAATTTTCTTGTTTTTAGAATCAGTAGTAAAAATGCGTTTTAGTCATACAGAATATATAAATTTTTTACTTTTTTAGAATCAGTAGTAAAAATGCGTTTTAGTCAAACAGAATATATAAATTTTTTACTTTTTAGAATCAGTAGTAAAAATTAAGTTTAGTCAGACAAAATATGTAAATTTTCTTGTTTTTAGAATCAGTAGTAAAAATGCGTTTTAGTCATACAGAATATATAAATTTTTTACTTTTTTAGAATCAGTAGTAAAAATGCGTTTTAGTCAAACAGAATATATAAATTTTTTTCTTTTTAGAATCAGTAGTAAAAATTAAGTTTAGTCAGACAAAATATGTAAAATTTCTTCTTTTTAGAATCAGTAGTAAAAATGCGTTTTAGTCATACAGAATATATAAGTTTTTTACTTTTTTTAGAATCAGTAGTAAAAATGCGTTTTAGTCAAACAGAATATATAAATTTTTTACTTTTTAGAATTAGTAGTAAAAATTAAGTTTAGTCAGACAGAATATGTAAATTTTCTGCTTTTTAGAATTAGTAGTAAAAATGCGTTTTAGTCAGACAGAATATATAAATTTTTTACTTTTTAGAATCAGTAGTAATAATTAAGTTTAGTTAGACAAAAACTACAAATTCTATTTTTATTGTCAGTAGTAAAAGTAGTGTGTTTCAGTCAGAAAAAACATTTTAAATTTCAACTAATAAATTATCAGTAGTAAAAATCGATTTTTAGTCAGACAAAGCTAAAAATTCTTTTTCAAACATAAAAAAATTATGTTTCACTCACTTTTATTTCCTAGAAATTTTTTTTTTTTTTTCATAAAAGCAATTTTTATTTTTGTTCGCAAAAAGAAAAAAGGAAAATGAATTTTTTCTTTCAGAATGTAGAGGGCTTTGTGAAGCAGCACGAGTGACAGCATTACAAGAACAAACGGTTGCCGTTCTTAGCGACCGAGGGGCCGGTAGAATAGGACAGCTTTTACTTTTATTACCACCAGCGCGAGCACTTTATCGAAGTACTCTACACGAGCTACTTTTTAAACCAACAGTCGGTGATGTCAGTGTCGAAAGGTTACTCGAAGATATGGTTCGAACCTCACGACCAAACTGAAAAAAAAAATTCAAAAAAAAAAACAAAATATATAATAATACAATAAATATAATAAAAATAAATTAAATTAATAATTTATAAGAAAAAAAAAATATATATATATATACAATTATAATGATAGCAAACAAGTTTGCTGACAAAATTGTATTGCAAAAAAAATTGGATCGTTAATGTTTTTCAAAATTTATTTTTTCAAAATATAAAAAAAAATCTAATTTTTCATCGTTATTTACTTTAGTGGAAAATTATATATTATCTAGATTTTAGTGTATTGTAAAAAGTAATTTTTTTCTTCTATTGAAAAAAATTTATTTGATTCAAATAATCGATTACTTGACAGGGAAAAAATGTTTCACCTGAAACAGCAATGAGTTTCACTGCGACAGGGATATGTTTTTACTAAAATCAGGAAAATTTTTCTTATTCTAGAAAAATAATTCGCTGTTCCAGATAAATTTTTTCTCTTGACTATTAGATAAATATTTATTTGTAATTTTTTTTTTAGATTTAGATTTAGATTTTGATATTTGTTTCAAATAAAAAAATTATTGGTCCAAATACAATTTAATTCAAATAAAAATAATCTGGTTCAAGTAAATATTTATTTGATAATAGTCAAAATTATTTTGAATCAAATAAATTTATTTTTAGTATTTAAAAAGAATAAATAAAATTTAATAATTAATTTCACATTACTTTAATGTAATTTGAATTTAAAAAAGCAAAAATACAATTGTCTTAGCAAACTGAAATTGAAATTTCGAAAAAAATAGTCTATAGTTGTAGGTATTAATAAATTTTAGTCACTTATTGGGATTGTGCATTATAAAATTTTCTTGGCAAATAAATAAAATTTAAAAAAACGAATTCGTAACATTTTTCTATTTTAAAAAATAAAAATAAAATATATAAAAAAAAAAAGTTCAAAACTGGGAAAAGTGAGGAAAAAAGGATATTGAAGAAAAATATGGGAAACACTTTTTTTTTTTTTTTATTAACTAGAATAATTTATTTTTTCACAGTAGAAAAAGGAGAATGTATCTTAAACTCATGGACTGCATTGTACTCATATATATACAATTACATACAATCCTCGATCGAATGTTACACATAAATTCATCATAAATTGATTTCTTTTTCCATTGTCCTTGGGCATTTGTAGAATATCTAAATAAAGTTCTTGTTTTTTGAATTTTTCAAAAATCAATCACTGATTTCAATTCAATCGTTTGAAAAAAATAATTACACAACAAAAAAAAATGTATTATAATATAATCAACGATTTTACAATATACAAAATTTCTATATTTCACAAATAGAGTGTGAGGAATTAGAAATAGAAAAAAATTTAAAACAAAAGGAAGAGAATAAACTAGAGACAAAATATAAAAATTCAAAATTTTTTTTTGGATTAAATTAAATCTAATGAAAATAATATTTAATATAGGAAATAATCGATCAAAAAAATAATTTACAATTATCGTCCAAAAAAATGCAGTGATAAATGAAAAATAATTAATCAAATTTTGATTTCTCAAGTGCCATTTTTTTTTTGTATTGAAGAAAAAAAAATTTTTTTTTTTTCGAATTGGACTATGGAAATCAGAGTTATATGATTCTTGTGTAAGCATTCACAAAGGCCAAAGTACATAATAAGTAAAGCTAGAAAGAAAAACAAAATACGGACAATCGTCTGGATTTTCGGATTTAAAAAAAAAAATTGATTTTTTTTTTTTGTCGAGCGATACTAATTAGTGTACATATAATTGTATATGATTTAAAAACGTTTTCCTTCTTCTCTTTTTTTTTTTGCTCTTCTACTACTTAAATGCTTATTAAATCGTTTTGCACAATTCTTTTTTTTATCTGGCTTTTTTTTTTAATCATTTCGCTTTAGCATCTAAACACATATTTAAACTTTAAGAATCCCTTTTGTCTTTGTTTTTTTTTTTGTATGTCTCTTTCGAAAATGAATTTTACACACATTGGTTCGAAAAAATTGTTTTTTTGCCTTCGAAATAAATTGGTCGATCGATTTTTTTTTTTGGAATTTGAAACCGAAATTAATTAATTTTGAATATCGATCGGACGTGCTTCGCTTCTGTAGTGAGGAATCGTCTCGCTCATCTCATCGTGACAATTTTGGAAAGTCGATATTTGTGATGAGAAGGCGTTACAAACGCATGTGCCTCGACGCTAAGAAAGCGTATTTTTTTTTTTTTTTTTTTTGAGCGTTTTTGAAAAAAAAAAATCGCTCTGGTTTTTTTTTTTTTATTTTTAATGAATGTGAAGAAAGAAAGAAAAAACACAACGGCAATCTACTTATTACCTTTCTAGGTATTTAACGCTAATTATGTAAAGGACAAAAATCTAACAGATTTCGGAATAATAACAAAGTCGTCGTATTCACAAATTAGGTTCGAAAAAAAAAATTTTTTTTTTTTACTAAAATCACATTTTATCGAACCACTGTAAATACAACGAAATATAACAGGTTTTCGGCTTTGACGTATTAACGAATTTTCAATGAAAAAAAAAAACTGGAAATTTTTTTTTCCAATTTTTTTAAAAAAAGAGGAATTGAAAATTCTCAGATGGAACTATTTACATTTTTTTTTGTTTTTTTTTTTTCAAGAGCTAACGTCGAAAAAAACTATATTTTTTCGAAGTTACCTATTGGAAAAAAAATTTACGTCGAAGCTCGCGAACACAATTCATTCTTAATAATTGTTCTATCATCACTATTTATGTATTTCACTTCAACTATTCATTTTTTTTTTTTCTGTGTGACAGTTTTTTCTTTTTCCAGGTGTTTTTTTCGAATTTTTTTTAACAATATTAACTAACTGAACAAATATAATAAAAAAAAACAAGTACCAATTTTTTTTTTCAGCTTTTTGATATAAAAATCTATACGGAATTGAAAAAAAAAAATAAAACACTTAACGAAACTAGCGAAGAAAATAAAGGGGGAATTTTTTTATAAAAAATTGTGGGGGTGTCATAAATAACGTACAGCGATATTTTGTTAATATATAGGCAGGTTTTGGGCTACTATTGCAATTTTACTTTTTTTTTATATATAAAAAATCTGTACATTCTTGAAATGAATATATTTGTATTTTATAGTAATATTAAAAAATCACTATGTACGATTTAATAGACGGCCCTGTGTCAAAAAAAATACTTATTTTTCTAGAAAATTTATTTTCTATTAGCTATTTAAAAAAAAAAAAATATTACGAGGTAGTTTTGTGAATACGATCACATTGCCACATTTGCGAGTGACCATCTTTGATATCGCGTAAATTTTCGGATTCACCAGCCGGGAGGAAGGAAAATTCAAAAAAAAAAATTCGTATTGAGAAAATAAGACAAAAAAATTATTTTTTCTATTTCTTTTTTTTTTTTTTATCGGCTGGTAAAACTGAATATTTTCTACGGCAATATTTATAATAAGCGATCGAAGAAGTCCTCGCAAAGGGGCAAAGGATCTTTAATTAAAATCCCTGTTCTATTGTAAATAACTATTGCACTTATGATTTGTTCATTCGGACTTTAACTGTGTTTTTTTTTTTATAATAATAATTTTTTTTAAGAAATAACATATTGTAGATATATCATTTACAAAAAAAAAAAATAAAAAAAAAAAAAAGACTCCCATTTTCACATCTTCGCTCTATTTCGCTCAGCGTTGAGTGATAAAAGCGATAAAATATACATATATGAAGTATATATAAGGTAAATATATTTTTTATTATATTTCTTGTACTGTACGTGTATTTGTCTGTGTGTCTGTGTGTTAGTGTATTTTTTTTTTTTAAGCGAGAAAATTATAAAAATTTCTTTCTTTTTTTCTTCGATATTTTATCTATCTATAATTAGTGCACGTACGAATTTTCAAACCAATTTATCGAAAATTTCAGGATTCCTAGAGTAAGAGTCATTCCCTCCAGAAAATTTTTTTTTTTTTTTTTATGGAAAGAAAGTGAAAAATTTTTAAATTTTGTATCTGGAGGGAAGTCACTTGTTATCAATCCTTAATGTCTATTTTAATTTTTTTTAATTTTTAAATGCTTCGTGTACTTAATAATGATTATCCGTATATCTATATATTCAGTAACCGTTAAACATTATCCACTAAAAGACACCGTATCCGTTTTGTCTAGAATTTTAATATATATGTTTTTTTTTTTTTGTACGAAACGGAGGCTAAGAAAGAGAAGTAAAAAGAGAGATTTTTTTTCCCTTTAATTTTGTCATTTACCAAAAATTAATTTTTCCAAATTTTTTTTTTATGAAATCTCTCTCTATTTCACTTTCTTTGACCGTGCAAAAAAAATTTTTTATTTTATTTATCCTTGTGAAAAACGATAGCCTATACGTGAACGTCTCTTTCTTATATCAACGCAAATTACGAAAAATCCGTAACACCGATTTTACTTTGAAGAAACGCGTTTTTTAATCACACGTCACTGAATTATTTCCTTTTTTTTTTTTTTTTGGCGAATTAATTCCCATTATTTATCGAATAGACTTTTAATTATCATTCATCAAAAAGACACAAAAAGTAGTAGTAAGTAGTAAGTAAGTAAGTAGTATTTTTTATAGTAGAAGCACTAGCAGTAGAAATTGTAATATTAGTTAGTCGTATAGTAGAACGAGTTTATTGTTTGATAAAGTAGCGATTAAAGTAAACTAAAAGTATTTATAGATGAAAAATAAAGGATTTAATTATGGCGAAAAATTATTATTATTATCATTATATTCGTAAATACGAAACTCGTCGCGAAATTATTTTTTCAATTTTTTTTTTCTGATTTTTACATTTTAATAATGAAAATTGTTTGTTGCACATTGAAAATTCTATTTAAATTAAAAAATTTCTTTTAAATTTGAAATTTATTTTTTTATTAAAATTATATTTTTATGGAAAATTATTTTTTATTCAATTATTTTTATGGAAAACTATTTTTATGGAAAATTATTTTTTATTCAATTATTTTTATGGAA